CTCATGTTACTCCAACCGTTACCTCGTCCCTGAACTCCCGATTTCGTGTGTACCGTTCAGTCAGAAACTAAGCTTTACACACGTGAATCTTTATCTGTTTTGTTCACTGGCGTATTCCAAGTGCCTAGAACTGTGTCTGGCACCTAAATGTGTGTTGAATAAATGGGTGAATCTACTCCTCTTTTCGTCCAGGCTGTATTCTTGAATTCTCATTAGTTAAAGCTATTTAGGTCTCATACATGGCTCTTCACCTCTCCGGGTGCTATGGTATCTTAGCCAGAAAAATTCATATTGAACTGTTTATAGAGATTTTTCACTACTCATGGGGTTCTTACAGGCCCAGATTACAATTTCCTGGTGCTGTCAACCTTTACTATGCTGCTGTGACACTCTAGCTGAACGACTTTCATGGCTTTGGAGAGCCTGCCATCATTTACTTCCTAGCTGCAGGAGGACTTTTTGTTAAAACTCTGCCAAGCTCTGGACACAAAGGCCTCTTCCAATGCTGTCAGCCTAAAGGCTCAAAGGTGCTGTGGGCTAAGCACAAACTAGAGGCACGATAATGGTCTTCACAACCTACCTCTGTATTCCCTACTCCTACGCCAGCCTGTTGACTGACTAGCTCTTCTCCGCAGATGTCCTCTTGAGCTGCTGACAGTTTCAGCACTGATATTGACTGGCAAGATGGATCGCCTACAGGACCACCCTGGATCTCCAGTCCTATCAAGCATGGACGCTGTGCTTGTCACCATGGACTCTGACGGTTTGGACACGTAGACATGTACTGCAGTCGCTGTTAACTGAGCTGAAGGCAGCAACTGCCAACAGGCTGAGAGGAAAACAGAATTTACAGGCACCCCTCAGCCGAGCGTAGTGTGAGAAACAGTGCTGCCAAATGCGCAGGGATAAGGCGGGCAGACAAGCCAGTGCTCTAGGACAACAGGGGGTTTTTTGAGCAAAGAGAAAGAAGCAGAAACTGGTAAAAGGGCTGGGGACAGTGACAGGCTTGGAACAGGGCAGATGATCCAGCAATCTAAAGGTGATCACTCCACATACTCCACGCCCACGTGGAAACCACACATGACCTCCCAACCCACACGGTGATTATCTGTCAAAGAAGAATAAACATTATGGACTGTACTTGCCCTAAAGCAGACTTAGCAAAATTCCAGAAACAGAATAAACCCCTTGGGGGTGAGGAATCAAGGCAGGGAACGGATTAACCTATCATGCATCTGTACTGGCTTGAATGGTGTCCCCCAAAATACATGCCCTCTGGAACCTCAGAACATGACCTTCCTTAGAAATAGGGTCTTTGCCTTTGTAATTAGTTAGGGTGAGGTCATACTGGATTAGTGGGAGCCCTAAATCCAATATGATGGTGTCCTTATAATAAGGGGAAAGAATACAGAGACACAGGGAAGAAGTACATGTGACTACAGTGGTAGGGATTGGAATGATGCAGCTACGAGCCAAGGAACGCCAAGGATTCCCGCAAGGAACCAAGAAGCTAGGACAGGGGGAGGAAGGTTCTTAGGATGCTTCCCCAGGGCCTTAAAGGGACAAGGCCCTTCTGACAATTTGATGTTGAACTTATAGCCTCCAGAACCGTGAGTGAATACATTTCTCTCATTGTAAGCCACTCAGTTTATGGTAATTCATCACAGCAGCCCTAGGAAACTAATACAGCATCTATCTATCTTAGCTTGTCCACATATACCTCTATACGCCAGGCAGTCTTCTAGCAATGAACAAACCCAGAAAAATCTCTGCCTCTATGGGGCTTATATCTTGGAATAGGAAGCGACAGGAAATAATCAATATAAAAATAAAATTCATTGTTTGTCAAATGGTGGTTAAGTTCAGAAAGGGGTCCTACACAGTGAGGTGGAGTATTAGTTTTGAATCTGAATAAATCGAACACTCTCAGTGGATTTTGATCCACAGATGGAAACTAGTATTCTGTCTAGTGATGTCATTCTTGTGAAAAACGGTACAACGTGTGAGGGCATATGGGGGAGAGAAGAGCCTCCCTCTATTTGATTAGAGTTTCTGCTCTAATAGCAGCCATGAAGCTTCTTGTGAAGGGAAAAGAACAATGCATTAGCAAAAATCATCAAGGCTAAGGGGAGAATCCCCAAGGATTTAGTAATGAATACACACTTGTTGGCTGATTTATAAATGAATCTAGCCATTTACCATTCAGCAAGTGCCCCGGCAGCATAAAAGAAGCAAAGACGGGTGCTGGACAGAAAACCTTTTGTCATCCAGGAGTCTCGTTAAATTATCACTCAAGCGAAAGAAAGCTCTAGAACTACGAGAACAATCAGCAGTGAAAGAGGTGTTCTATCTACACTAATATGGTAACCCTGGTCACAGGTGATTATTGACCACCTTAGCTAGTGAGACTGAAGAATAGAAATTTTAATTTCAGTTTGATTAATTTAAATAATCACATGTGACTAGCAGCTACTCCATTGGACAGCACGACTCTAGAATCACAGAAGAAAATGGCCTGGGAGACTCACTGAGTCTGAGAAGGGACCAGCTCCATAATTACAAACAGGTTAGGGAGGCTTTATAGGATGTACAGCCATTATATACAGTATTTCTGGGGCATAATTATTTTCTTAATGTTCACAGTGTCTTTAAAGACGGTCAGTCATATGGTCCCCATTTGCTGGATGAGGAAATCAAGGTTTAACATGATTCTTTGACTTGCCGAGGGTTTTGCAGCTTTTAAGAAATTTGAATTTAGCTTTGATACCAAAATCCACACTCTACTCATCAAAGCATGTCATCTAGAGCACCTTCCACTCTTCCATTCCTACCCTCTCTGAACAGTCTAAAACACAACAGTGTGTGTGTGTGTGTGTGTGTGTGTGTGTGTATCAGTGTGTGTGTGTGAATAGATTTTGAGGAACAGGTAAGTGTGGGGGTTCCTTGAGTGCTTAGTGTGGATCTCGTATTCTTTAGCCAAACAGCGCCATTTTCCACTTGGTCAGGCAAAGTGAAATGCCAAGAATAGTGATGGAGCAAACAGAATGCAGGAATGCATACTTGCCGGCTGACTGAAAATGGCACGCTAAAGAAACCTTTCTCCCTGGGACACGTTCAGCAAAAATTCTATGTCACAGCTTTCCCGGTCCTGCGGGAGCTCCCATTTCCCCAGCAGCAGAGACACTCAGAAACCCTAAAGCCACAGGTCCTCCTGTGGGGGGAGGCTGGAGGTTAGAGAAAAGGGAAGACAATCAACACGTACCTCACTCACAGTATGGGGATCTAAAAATACAGATGACAGAGAGTGGCGAGGGTGACTGGAGATACAGGATGCTCAGCTTCTCCTGTAACCTCCTGTGTGCCCCAAAATGGAGAAAGGGCACCTGTGGGGCTTGCAGGGCCACAGAGTCAGGGAGGCTGAAATCCAGAGGAAGCCACTGTGGGTGATGTGGCCCTTTCCAAACAAAAGCACAGCTGGTTTGCACTGATGCTTTCTGGGCTATTGCTTTTAAGATTTCTGCAGCATTAAGAGGAAGGTCTCTGATGGGATTAATTTTGCACCTTTTAAAAAAAGTTTCACTATGCCTGGAAATATACTTGGTGAGATTAATAAAGCAAGCCTTGGCTCTTTAACCTCCTGGAAGACTAACTGAGTCTTTCATCATTGTACAGTAATCCTACCCTGCAAGAAACCTTCTGGGAAGAGCCCCCTTCCCCTAAATAAAGCTTTCCAGCATCTTGAGGTTTGGAGGTTTATGTGATCCCACACCCAAATAACTCTAAAAATAGTTCATCCTAGTGCAACAATTGGTGTGCTGGAAAGGATTCTATTGGAAAAGCTGACTGCTCAGCCCAGCACTCACACATGTCTACGCAGACGTCTAGTCTAACCTCTCAACCCGCAGGAACCTGGTTTTGGGGACTGATTTTTAGCTCTCTTTAACATAATACAACCATTGGCACCAAATAATACAAACTAGCTAGTGAATGCCGTTGTGGCTGTGACAAAAAAAAAAAGATTTTATAACTTTAAAAAATGCATTGTTTCTTCTTTCTCTCTAAGTTGTGCCAAAAATTAATGTTTTGCAGCATCATAATTTCAACACCTTCAGCTAAAATGTGTGTCTTTGGACAATGATCACTAAGTCCTGACTTCGCTCCCTTTCTGGTAGCAGTTGGCATTCCTTTACAGAGTTTTGCTTCCATCATTAAATTGCTTTACAAAAAATAAGAAAGAGTACAAACTGCAAATGTACACATACAGAAGTCGCCATGGTCTTATACCCCAGTTGGTTGTTCGAGTGCATTGTTCTCAGGAGTTTCCAGCGGAAGGAAAGCTCCACTTAATGAGTTGCTGGGACAGCTTCTCTGGGAATGCCCAGCGCCGCCGCTTCCCTGACGAGCTCGCCGCTCTGAGCGCCCTGGGCTCGGTCCGGTGAATAACAGGCCGTGCAGAAAGCGCCTACACCGCCATCCAACGGCCCCGAGTGGGTCGCACCAGAAGTAAGGCGCTCGCCACTGGAGCTGGGGAAGAGTCCCATCAGGATCTCTCGGGACACCACTTTTCTCCCGCCTCACCAAGTGGTCACCGATCCCCTACTCTTGTCTAGCCGGGACACCCCGTGACACCAAAGGAGAAGGGCAGCTGCAAATTAGAACCGGTTCCTGGGGGCTCAGGCCAGTGAGGACCGTTCTTGGTTCTCCTCCCTACCTTTCCTCTCCCGACCCAGGGGCAACGCTGTCCCTTTCCAGGACGGGATAGGAGTCTCCCAGACCCGGAGCAGCTCAGAACCTGCGCCCCCCGGCGGCCGGCGACAAAGTTTGCGCTCAGGGGACTCGGGAGTTCCCAGCACCCTGCAAGTGGGACTGGCTCTGGAAAGCCATCGATCAGAATGGTCTGGTGAGCTCCGGGCACCAGCTGGTGGAGGGGGAACCGAGAGCCAGTCCTGGCTCGGAGAGGGATGAGACAGAGGCGAGCGCGGTGGGGAAAGGAGGCTTACATCTGGGGCAGACAAGGCTGCGGCGCAGTCCTTCCAGATGCCGGGCGCCCGCGACGCTGGCGCCGAGAGGAAGCCGTGGACCCCCGAAGGGCTGCTTCCGACGGCTCCTTCTGCAGCCTCCCCATCCCGCGCGCAGCTGAGTCCACCTGATGCGTGGAGGGCGCCGGGTGGAAGGGGGACTCTGCAGGAGACGTAGCATCGCCCCTGCCAAGGAGAGTTGGGTCTCCGGACTGACCGGACTGGAACGCTGAAGGAAACCCTGCCCATGACTGCAGAAGGGTCCCGGAAGCTGGGCGACCGGGATGGAGGACCGTGCGCCTGGGGACTGGCTGCAGGGCGCTGAGCGAGGGGCTGGAAAGCTGAAGCTCACCCACAGCGGAGAAAGGAGGAGGCACCCAAGGGGAGGAGGGGACAGCAGCGGGAGGGGTTGACCCTGAATGCATCCCTACTGTGAGGTTATCCGACCTGTGTGTCAGCAGAGCGCGGTTCGTGGATCTTACCGGCTCCGGGGCTCGGGCTCGGCTGTAGCGCTTGTCCGGAGCGAGGGCAGGGGACTGTTTCATGGAGAACATGTCTCGCGTTTTCCTCTATCCACTCTTATCTTGGTCTCTTTTCTCTCCCGTATGTGTCCCTGGGAGAGGAACTACGGATGCCTTGCTCTTTGCTCAGGAAGAGACAAGTTGAACTTCGAGGGACAGGGGTCCCACATTTTGTCTGCTCCACAGATCCCACCCGCGGACCACTCCCTCCCTTCACTCCGGTCTCTGGGTCCCACCCATAAAAACCCTTAATGACAGATCCTCCGCAACCCCACCTCTTTGCATTTAAAAAGTTACTCTTCAGGGGCTGACACGAAGCCAACTGAAATGCTGGTCCCCTCCCACCGGGCCCCACCCCCCAAATTTACACCCCGTGACGGCAACACGAAAAGGACCAGACCTCAAAGTTTGGCTATAAGAGACAAAAGAGTTACTTCTGGGCTCTCCAAAACCTCCTTATCACATCCTAGACCTTTTTCTTTTAACCAGAGCTGGCTAGCCAAGTAAAAATCAAAATAACCACACGCACTGGAAATTAGAGGCTTAAGTTTATCTCAAAAAAAAGGTTGAACGTTTGTAGGGCAAGCACTATTTGCATTAAGCAAACGGAAACTTGCCTTCTAGTATATGTTTAATGAAGAAATTGCTTTTGCAAGACTGCCCCAGACTTTGCTGAGACTGCAGGGACACGGGACGACCCCAGCCTGCCTCCATAAACGTGGTTCGAGAATTCTTGCAGAGGGCATCCCTAGGCTGAACCTTCAGGACCAACAACTCCGTCTTTCTGTATTCACTAGCAGCCGCTCCGCCTCAGGGAGCGTCAAGGAGGGCGCTGCCGGTACTTAGAATGGTAGACTACTTTTTCATTCGAAGCCCCAAGCAGTTGTCAAATGTTTGGCAGAAAAAAAAAATTTAAAAAGACTACACTGCTTTTTCTTAGAAATGTTTTTTTTTTCATCCAACCTCACTCAAGCTCGAAAGGAAATTTCAAAAATTCCTCCAGGTTATTGACGAAATCCATCTCCATTATTCTGTAGGAGGCCGTACATGGTCAACAAAATACGTATCGTGCACCTGTTCCTTGAATATTATAGCTGGGAGGAGGATATAATTTGTAAACCTTTGTTTCTAAAATGAGATAAATAGAAAATATTGCGTGTGTATATAGTGCAATAGTTGAAACTGATTCCAAGTGTTTCAAACATCAGATTTGGAATCCAATATCTGACAAGTTTTTCATAATTCACAAAAATTAACTTAGTATGTGGCAGACTTTGTACTAAACATTTTATATACATTCTTTTAGTTCTAGCAATCGCTTCATGAGGTAGGTACCATTATTTAGAGATGAGAAAGATTTAAAGTCGAAGCAGCCAGCCTAAGTTTTATGCAGCTAGCATGTGCTAAGCTGGATTCTCCAGAGGCAGTGTCATTTCAGGACTCTGTTCTTAGCAAGATGTGGCCTCATTATATGTCATCACCATAGGGACACACCAGCCTGAAAATATCAAGAGCCTAGGCGACTTACCCACTAGCTCTACCTTGAGCAAATCACTAGCCTTTCTGGGCCACTCAATTCATAAAACGAGATTTGGATTCAATCCTCAAGTCTACAGGCATTCTGAAGCCAAGTATAAATTTCTACTTCACCTCCTTTCTCTTCCACATTCTGCCCTCTGGTGGAGGTGCTCCAGGAACTATGAAATTAAAGCAGCTCAATCAGTAAATTTGAGAAAGCCAGAGGAGATAAGTCGCCCTCTCTTTTCCACGACTATACTGTGTTCTTCTGAGAACTCAAGCTGATGGCATTGATGGTGTAAAACAAGCATTCCTAAAACTTTCCTTTTAGCAAGAAAATCCAACCAGTTCTAGTACCAATGGCACCAGAGTGAATACTTGAGGTATTCTTTGCCTGAGGGTAAACAGCTATTTTTAAATTCTTTGTAACAACCTTTATAATGTAAGAAATCATAAAAATATTAGAAGTCTCATACTTTGGATATGCAGAGGGCTCACAGTAATCCCGATAACCTATTTGAATTATTCCTCAAAAAAAATTCTTTGCCACATTTGCTTTTCAACTTATTTTATTTATTTTTATTATTATTAGTTTCAGGTATACAAAACAATGCAATAGATATCCTTTCACTCCTCACAAAGTGACAACCACCCTTCCCCCATCCACTGCCCTCCCACCCCCGATATCATACTTATCTATTACAATTCCATAGACTCCATTCCCACACTATACTCCACATCCCATGACTATATATGTATTAAATTATAGTTGACATATAATATTATTCAATGGCAGCTTCAGATATACAGTGCAGTGGTCAGGCCTCTACACCGTCTATAAAGTGGTCTCCCTAACAAGACATGAGTCCATCTGTCCCCCTAAAAAATATTTACAACATTATTAATTATATTCCCTGAACTGTCTTGCATATCCCTGTGGCAATATTGTAGTTACCTATTTATGTTGTCTCGTCCCTTCCCCTTCTCCCTCATCCCCACCCCCCTCCCAACTAGCAACCATCAGTTTTTCCTCTGTGTCTCTGAGACTATTTTTGTTTACATTACTCATTTATTCAGTTCTTTAGATCCCACATATAAGTTGAGATCATATGGTATTTGTCTTTCTCTGACTGACTTGTTTCACTTATTTTAAAGTGACAACCGTCATCTAGTAAAATGCTTTCATTTTAAAGAAAGAAACATGTCTAGCCTTTTGAAAACTTTATTGTCTAGCATTTCAGCCTATATCCAACTAATTAGATGATGTAAAAGAAAAAACACAAACCTTAAAGAAATTTATGGAAAAATTAACTTACAGGTAGTGAATATACCTCTGGAAAGTGTGATTTTATATCAAACTTTGGTTATATATCATATTACAGAATAATTCAGTGCTTAGTACTACAAATAAAGGCAATTTGAAAACAAGAAAGAGATTATTTTTTATTAGCAGCCAGCATCCCAGGATGGTAACAGGCAAGCAGTGGCAAAAACAGACACACTACCCCACGGCTTTTCTATTGAGATCTTCATTCAAATGATACTTAGGATTTGCTAGCGGCCAGATGAACAAATAGAGTTCTTGCCCTCACAGAACTTTTGGTCTAGTGGAATACGTACTTTAAACAAACACACAAATACATAAACTATGGAAAAATGCAAATAATGGGGAACTGGCTTTAGAAAGTGAAAATGTGCTATTTTAGCTGAGATCTAAAAATGCAAAGCCCTGCAAAATAAAATAAAGAATAGAGCAAGAAACAAGCAAACTGGGCATTTACCTGTTACAGGGAGGGGAGTCTAATCAAAAGGGGAAAACAACATAATACCGGAAGTAATATATTCTAGCACACTAAAACATTCTATAGATGATAAAAGTAGCCCATGTATACAGTCTGTTGACTGTCAGTAATATTTCTGGGACATCCATGCCCTACTCCAATACACCAGAGTAGTCGTTGGGAGAAAGAAAGTAATTAGAACTGGACCATAAAAAGTTTCAAAGGAGTTGTATTTTTAGCAGCCTCACACACCTAGTGCTAGTTTTCCCACCACCAGAGCCCCATACTGCCATCTGACTGCCCAAATGCCCCTATCTTGGGCCGGCAACCTGCCTTATCTTCCAGGAATAGTACCCCCTCAACGACAATGACCACATGAGCAAAAAGTGAGTTGCCTAAGTTCACTTTTTATTTTCCTGATTTGTGAATCCATTTGTAAGTGAAGTCTTGAAGTTATGAGATTGTCACATTTATCTCTATTTTTATAGCTAAGAATTTCGCAGCACTATGTGCCAAGTAGTTCACAAAGTGACATGTATATTTTTCTCAGTTTTTCATTCTTGAAACAAACCTAGTTTCTATGGTTGTAAAATGGGAATAAACCCCACCACATAGGCTATTAGGAGGATTAATGAAAATGTAAAGTGCTTTAAAAGAGTTGCAGACTAATAATAGCTAACACTTATTGGGCATTTACTGTTTTTTGGTGGTTTTTTTTAAAGGTATTATGGAATCTTTGAGAATTATTACTGGAGACTACATGAGGACTACAAGTTCCTCATTTACTATCATTACTTTCCATTAAAAAATTATTTTTGATGATTCTTGATCATAATTTCCACGTTGCCTTTTTTGTCGAGTCATTTGTGTTATTTATCCTTCAGTTCTTTTTTTTTTGTTTTTTCTTGTTCTACGGGCATTTACTGTTTTTTCTCCTTGTTACTACTTTACAGAAGAGGAAGAAACTGAGGCTTATGGAAGTTAAATAAATGCCCTAGATGTCACAACTGGGAAATGGCAGAACCAGAATTGGAGCCCAAGCAATCTGTAACTACACTGAGCTCTGAACCCCCACCTTCTGCAGTACAATTATTACAGTAATGAAAAAATGCCCAAGGATTTTACAGCGCACAGTTACACAAGAATTCACTCATTCATCCATCATGTATTTATTGAGCACTGCAGTGGGTTGAATAGTGTCCCTCCCCAAATGTAATGTCCACCCTGAACCTAATGTAACCTTCCTTATTTGGAAATAGTCTCTTTATAGATGTAATTAACTAAAAATGAGACCACAGTGGAATAGGCCCAGAGTACAGAGAGTGTCTTTATAAGAGACAGACAAGGACACGCAGAGACATGTGAAAATGGAGGCGAGACTGGAGTGATGTGCCTACAGCCAAGAAACCCCAACGACTGACACCCACAACCAGAAGCTATAATAGAAGAGAAGCATGGAACAGTTTCTCCCTCAGAGTCTCCAGAAAGAGCCAACCCTGCTGACACTTTGATTTTGGA